GTCTCCCAGGAGCAGTTGCTGGCTGCGCAGTTCACCGAAAGTGTCTCGAATGCCATCGCCCAGTAGCTACGACCAGTAAACGCAGCCCAACGCATGGATATTAGTGAGATGGCTAAGGTCACTAGACAGCTAATAAGTACAGCAGTAGCGGCAGTGGAGTCACCAGAGGTAAATAACTGGAAAAAACAAATCGACAACCCTCAGGAGGGGGTGGCTGCATTTCGAATGAATATCAACAGGCAGAGTAAATGGTTTGCATGCAGAAAACCTGGACACTGGGGACGAAACTGTCCGGAGAGGCGAAAAAGAAAACGTTTTGAACTATGTAATATGAGTTCTAATTATGAATAGTGGCTAGCAGTGGAATCCAGGATGCGCATTTCGTCCTATTTGGGACTTGTCAGTTGGATGTACCTGCTTTCCAGTGAAGTAATTATACTGATGTAATATGAGTTATGTCTTGTCGACTAGACTAGATGTTATAGGAGCCATAGATAGAGGAGCTGTGTATGTTAGAATGCAAATAAATGATCGAAAGATCGTGTGTCCAGTAGATAAGGGAGCGGCAGTCTCGCTGACAGATAAGAGTCAGTCTCAGAACATAAGACTATGTGCGCTAACAGTCCACACGGTTGGGGGACATGCATTAGAAATCGCACGCTTATCAGATTGCGTCGTTGAGATCGGAAGTCGGAAAATTAGATTTCCATTCATTGTCACCAGGTATCTACAACGGACAATCCTAGGTGCTAATTTTTCAGAGAAGTGGGCACAGTTATTGACACGAGAACAGGAATAGTGGCGACGAAGTACGGGTCGTTCACCACGCAGGAAAACAGTGAGGTAGCAGGGATTAAGGTATCAAAAGCACCACACCCATAAGCGCCAAACATAAAATTGGTTAAGAAATACGACAGACTGTTCACGGGAGATGGAAACCCCTACAGATACTGTGGCTAGGTTCAGCATGAAATCCCAGTGACAAGCAATGAAAACATTTATAACACGGCGCATACCATGTCACTTTGAAGAAGTTGGGCGCCAGATTCAGGAAATGCTAAAAGGTATTATTGAAGAGGCATTGACGAGTTTGGACTTCGCATCAATAAGACAAAATCTCAGCCAAGAAGAGTGTTATATTGCTAGGACATAAAGTTGGAAACGGTAGAATAAAACCATTACCTGAGAAGATTCTGACGGTTAAAACTATTCCAGTGCCTAATTCTAAGAGAAAACTGCGACAGTTCTTGGGTAGAGCAGCATTCTACAGTCGGTTCCTCAAAAGGTTCAATGAGATAGCAGCACCTTTATATAAGCTACTTGGCAATTCAAAATTTACGTGGACAGAGGAGGCACAGAAAACGTTTGATCACATCAAGGAACTCCTAAATGACCTGGAGATGACTTTAAAACTACCAATACCCAGGAGGCCATTCTTTGTGTCCATTGACGCAAGTGATTATGGAATAGGCGCATTCCTGAGACAGACTGAAGGAGCAGTGGAGTATGCCAGCCGTGCCCTGACACTTGCAGAACAGAAATACTCCACGGTTAAAAAAAATGTCTGGTGATAGTTTGGGCGCTTGAGGAATGGAAATCGTACCTCCTCGGTCAACGATTCCATATTGAAACTGATCGTAAACGTCTGCAGTGGCCTAAGACAGAGAGAGACCATAGAGGAAAATTATAACGTTGGATGTTACGACTGCAAGAGTACGATTTCACAATCGGCCATGTGACAGGAAAAGAAAGCTGGTTGGCACACTTCCTATCAAGATCAGACGAAGAAAATGAACTACGTGAGATTGCATAAGGTGTACATGCAGTGGAAAGGGACTTATTCTCCTTCAGAAATCGGACTTTACACTTAAAAAAATGATAAAAGCCACAACTGAAGGAACGGAAACAAACAAGTCGGTGGGAAATAAAGAGTTGAAAACGTTGTTGATGCGGAAAGAACGCCTACGTATGAATACTTATGGAATGCTGACTTGGCGAGAAAACGATGAGAGCTGGTTGGTAGTGATTCCGAAATGTCTACGCGACAAAATGACACAAGAATGCCACCAGTTAGCTCATACAGGTGTCTCACAGACAGCCGACCTTCTCAGCCAAAGTGCATACTGGCCAGGTACGAGAGATGTTGCCAAACACGTGCTGGGCTGTCTTCATTGTCAACTGATGAAAGGTGATCGGTATGTACGGCCGCCACTTCAGTCGATTTCAGTAGCAGCAGTTAGTGGTCTGTGGACGTAGTGAGACCGTTTCCGTAGACATCTAGTGTCAACCAATACCTGTTGCTGATGATGGAGCATGCTACACGATGGGTAGACGCTGTCGCAATTTCTGATCAACGCGCTAAGACAGTGACCGCAGCGGTGATGCGGCGTATTGTTGCTGATCACGGTGTTCCGAAGACGATATTGACCGACCACGGTCCTTGTTTTGAGAGAGAAGAATTCAAATCCTGTTTAGAGCAGCTGGATATCAGGAAGATAAGAACGACACCTTACCACCCGCAAACTAATGGTTCGACAGAACGGAATAACCGCGAACTTAAAGAGTGGCTGGCTTCGAAAGGACGGGGTTGGAAGACGGAACTGCCGGTAATATTATTGGCGCATCGTGCCTCTGTACAAGGAACAACCAAGAAGTCGTTGTTTCAGTTAATGTATGGCGGGAAACCACGGCTTCCAATGCATAGTAAGACCTGGCCCCAACAACAGCCGTGGAACATGACAAGATTGAGAAAGGAGCGGAAGCAGGCAGTCAGAAATGTAGAACAAAAACAGAAATCTGTTGCTGAAAAATCCGAGCAGAGAGAAGGAAGCAAATGGAAACCGTTTGAGATCGGAGATCAGGTGAAATGTAAAGAACGAGTATATACTTCAGGAGGTGAATATGGTAGAAGAAAACTACTCCCCAAGTGGGTAGGACCATACATCACTACCGAGAGACGCGGTTCAGTTTATACGGCCAAAAAACAGGACAAAGAGGAAAGAGTAAATGCCAGCCTACTTCAAAAATGGAAGCGTTGAGAAAAAGACGAAACATTGCATGAACACCAAGAGAAGACGGCACCAAGACGATCAACACAGCTGCAGGCCCGGAATTTTGACGGGGGACGAGTGTAGTGGGTGTTGCTGAGAGAGAGAGAGAGGGTGGCAGAAATCATAGGGTAAGGGTTCTTGGTAAGGATTCTACCAAGAAAAACGCAAGAGACAACGCGGGCGTATGAAGAGCAAATCAAGAGAGAAGCAGTAGAGTAAATAAAGCACATTTTACAAATGACTGCCTTAGTGGAAGGTGTACAATATTTAACGACTACTGTACCACTTGTTAACAATAAACATTCCTTCCTTCGTCTGTCTTCTCGTTACCTATCAGTACTTCTCGCCTGACCTCAACATTGCTCACTCGGTGATTCCACCAAAACTCGAGCAGTGCTACGAAAACACCTTTGATTAAAACCCTACGACGGAAAATCGATGACAGCGGTGCAGATGTATTTACTCTTTGACATTTTTTAAAGCCTGAATATTTGCATTATCCTCTCTCTTCAGATTGTTTATTCTCTCACACACCTTTTGTATACTTTGATATCACTCTTTTTCTATTCACTTGTTCTTTGTGTTGTACAAAGTTCTACGTTGATTTTGTCATTCAGTTAGTCACACTCCTCACACAGAGGATAAGAGCAACCAGGGTTGCAGGATATGCCTGAAAAAGAAATCTTAGGCAAACAAAGTATATAGGTCATAGTACATAAGACTGGAAAAGTTAGTCTTATGTGCTTTATTCAAAATATCAATATGATTGTTTATGCTTAAGTGAACCAACCTTGCTCATTCATTCGTTACTTAGCTGTTCATCTAGTCTACAGCGTAATTACACACTGATATTGTGTACAAAAAGTATGATTGTGTATAGCTTCACTTGTGTTTTTTTATCGAGAATGTTTCATCGCCGAAGGTATCTAGCTGCGCATATGAATATTAGTCTGTGAAGTTTATTAGTATTATCAACTTGTGGAAGAACTTCATGCGGTAACGATAAGTTTAAACACAACTGGCTGTCATGCTTCAGTTGGTTGATGGACACCACTTTTGGAGCGATTGATACTGCGTTCAAGTCTCAGTGGAAACAACATTACTCACTAGTGGGGTCCAGGTACATCCAGTTGACGAGTCAATCCCAAATGGGACGAAACGCGCATCGTGTATTCCACTACTAATCGCCAAGTAGACTATAATTTATTTCTTTTGTTTTGAAACTACTGAAAGTTGGAAAATTTAAGTCATTTTCAAAAAGAAGTCATTAACGGTACTCATGAATTTAGAAGAAATGCTCCATAGTATTGTAAATGCTGATTTGAATAAGGGCGGTAATTTTGCCTGAACAACCAGCTCTGAACAGATGACCGTCTTAAATGACTCTCCTGAGCCCTTGACTTGGATGCCGATTGCTGGGGACCAAGGTACTCTATGCAGTCGTTCCGGATTGAATTGAATCGAAGTGTACTCAGAAGCCTTATGCTCATTCTTGCACTAGGCTAGTGATACTACCTGGCTTCTGTAACCACGGTAGGTGGGGCATAACTCGAATCCATGACCCATTGATTGAAAGTCATCTTCCTTAAGTCAGTGAGCGGCAGGTCCACTTCTGGATCATGGAGTTCAAGTGGACTGCTGGTTTGAAATCAAGGCTTGCTAAACGCATCACATTCGCTTCCGCCCTCTCATTTTATGAAAACGCCCTTGGCCACTTGAAGGTGGTGGTGAACAGGATTCTCCTGTCAGGTGTTTTTAACTCTTGACTCAATCTTTGGGTCACAGGTCTAAACTTTTCTCTACGCACCACCGAGATTTGGGCACAATAGGTATGATTCATTGCCTACTGCACGATCGTGTACATGGTCACGTAGTTGCTTTTTGGTGCACTACTGATTTTTTTCATCATACAAACAGTGAATCCTGTTGATCTTATGTTTTTCTTTACAGAAAATCAGAAACTGATAAGCTACAACTTTCAGTTAACAACCAAGTTGCTGGCGATTGTCTAAGTGATACTCCAAGCGATATCAGTTCAGATCACTCACGAGTCAATAGTTTAGATCCAATTGCTGAGGACAGTAATGATGACGAAGGAATAAGTGATAGTACAAATCAGCGCTTATTGTCTAGTAACTTTCAAGATGAAGATATCAACTGTTCAACAAAACATAGCCTAATTCAACTATTGGCCAGTCATCAGATGACAAAGGTTCGTATCATGATGATGACAGAGAAGCACGTCGACTTGCACGAAAATTACAAAAGAAAGCAGAGAAAAAAGCTCTAAAGAAGGCTGCTAAACGAGAAGCAAAACGGCTTGAACGACGAGCTAGAAAAGAAGCTCGACGTGAATTGAAACGACTTCATAAACTGGAGAAACGACGTTTAACTGAACAAGATGGCTTATTGTTTGATGAACATAAATCAAGTACTAAAAGTTATGATATTAACCAAGAGAATTCCAACAATCATGTTTGGGACGATATCAGTGAACAAATCGGTAAAGATGTAATTGATCACTGGTCCCCGGCTCATCTATCAGAACCTATTTTAACTGATGAATATTCTAATCAACAAATTCCACTTGGTAAGTTTCGTATAATTCTCTCATTCATCTGCCTAAAGTGAAGTATGTGTAAGTGTAATCTTCTTACCTACAGATTAGTCTATAGATAAACTGCTTAAGTGTACTAGCTGGTGTGTACTGTTTATTCGGGTAAAAAGGCAAGTCTGCCTAACTAAGCAGCGTCAAACCAGTATACACAGTCATCATAATGCTTGTCGAATACACCCAACCTCAACTCCTTGTGTTTACCTCTGACATACATTTTGCATGGTGCAGCTAATATATTTGGTCATTGAATGGAGGTGTAAGTCATTGGTTTAGGCAGATAGTTAGTGTGTAATCAGTAATTCTGAACAGCCAGGTAGTAGAGTATCATTAGCCCTCACACTAGAGATTGTGGTTTGCCATTTAGTGTCTGTAAGTATGGTGTATGTGCTTTGCACCCTCGAAGTGCGAAGTACTTTTGCAGGATTGGTAGGAGCCCTGTGTTTGGCTTACCCTCAGTGATTAGCTGTTGGAAGTAGTTAGAAAGTTGTTTGTGTATCCGGGTAGTTGTGAAACTTCCAACCGCATATCGAAAGCTAGAGTGACAGCTACCAATCTGTGCCACTTTTGGTCGGGTTTACAACGCTTTGGTGTGAGCACATGGACTGAATGGAAGAAGTGGAGGAACGGTCAGTGTATGAAGTATCGTCGTGGGATGAAGGATAGGTGCATCGGATTAGCATCTGTTAGTGCATCACGACTCCTTGGGTTGGGCTTCGACAGGTCATCCAACTCAGTGGCTTGAGACGTTATCAGATATGGGTGAAAATCGAAACCAGTGGTGGTCATTTTATCACTTCCTTCTATCTTTTTATGCCTAATGATGAATGTTTTTGTTGTGAGGGTATCTTATTCCACTACCCTTCTAATCATTCTATTCAAAGTGTACTTTTTCCCACTTTCCTTCACTTTATGTCGTCACAATGTTGTTATGCTATTTTGTGTGGTGCATTTCTTAATGCCCTTGTTTGTGTTCTAATGATAACAAAATCACTGTCTACTTCAAGAGAATGCACAAGGTTTCTGCATGTATTTCGTTTGTTTTTCTTCCGTTATCAAATACTCTCTGGCATAGGCAGTTTATTCGACGTTTTTTTTACGTTTCTTATTGGCGATAAACAAATGCTGCATCCTTAAAGTTAGTGAACATATGCAACCTATGGCTTTTCCAACTGGCTACAGATTGACCTCCTAGGTCTTGTGGAATGTTGTAGAGTAACTGTCAAAAATTTTTGGATTTTATCCAACGGTCACATAGGATTGTAACAGACCAGAGATACTAGGTTAGGTAGTTAGTGTATGAGAATCAGAGATGGTACCTTCAGACTGGCTTACTTCTCTGACCATCTCAGTGTATTAGAAGGACGAGAAGTCTTCTTGTAACAACCATAGGGGAATTAATTTGACCAGTATTGTATCCATAGTTGTCCGACGCCTAACTGGAGCTCGAGAACAGCAAACTAGAGAAAACCAGGCAGGTTTCAGACCTAGACGAGGATGTGTTGATCACACTTTTACCCTCTGACAGGTTCTGGAGCACAGGTATACCTACCGGCTAGTAGCCAACAGTTGCCATATTTCTTGACGTAAAAGTGACATTTGACTCTGTCGACTATGTGTTATAGTAGTCCGTGATTGTGAAGACAATACTTCGAGCAAGTATGCAACACTTATCAAATTGTTCAACCTGTATCGATTAGATGTTCGATAAGCCTTGTTTATTGCTGGATATGTGCGAGGGATTGATACATCCTAGCTGTGCACTGCATGGAAATCGATGTCTACTCGAGGTATCTGAAAAACACACAGAGACAGTAATTAGATTAGTTTTACTTAACCGTAGAGTTGCATATGATCTCTCTTTCCATAAGTTATTTGTGTTGTGTTCATAGTTAGAAAAAGCATCGTCTACATGTTAAGAAAGTGGAGTTGTGACTCATTGGTTTCGGTAGTTGGCTGAGGTTTGAGCACCTAGGTGATACCGATAGCACCATCACGCATAGTAGATGTGACTCATTGCCTACCGCATGAACGTGTAAATCCGACCGATAGCTGCTACCTTGACGTGGTGGTCGGGCTTGCATATCACAATGACCCAACGAGCTATGCTGGTGGAACGCTTGTTCCCTCGAGGTCCTACCATACCAGAAAGGTCTGTTGGGTAGTGGTTAGACGAAAAGCAGTTACCGTTATAGTGTAAATTGCTACACTATGATGGGGGTCTGAGGGCGAAGTCGTACTGCTGCTAGCTGGATGGGGTGTGACAGCAGTAAGGTGTTTCCCTTGGATGACCAGCAGTGCCAAGCTGATGCTGCCTTCTCAGTGGAAGGGGAGAGTCGGGGGGTTAGAAAAGGTCGGCCCCAAAAATAACACACTCCACCACGGTCTGCCGGGCCGGCGGTGTTGGTTCACTTGTCATTTCCTTTCGACCATCCGGCCCCAAAAATACAAAAGTTCAAAATAATCATACTCAAAAGGCTGGGTGTGACAGGTCTCAAGCAGATGTCCGATGGGCTCTGCGGTCACACAAATCTCTTTCAGGTACCTTAAGAAGAAATAGCCTTCCATGGTGTGGGCAGCCGGGAAGTGTCAACCGCCCTCACAACTCTGTCAGCACCCAAGTTTCTTCTGACTGCTATCCTCTTCCTCCATCATTACCTTCTAATCTTCCTTCACGTCTCTTAATTAATGATGCTGCATCATCTTCAATTTCTCCTACCTCTGCAGCCTTCTACAACGATCTGAGTCCACAGAACAGCATCCCTGGTCTCCTTAAACCACTTGTGGAAACTCGGACCGTTACGCAGTAATGCCTGGTCCTATGTTGATAATGATGATGATGATGAACGTGTAAATGGTTACTGAATGTGTTTCATTTTTCTTCTGTAACTCTATGGTTCTGTGACTCGGGTATTCAACTCCCAATCTTCACTTTGAACTTACATCTCACCACAAAGGTTTCGACAACCAGTTAATGTCATTAGTTTTTGACATAGTCTGTAAATGTGTACTTGGGTGCGTCTCCATTTTTGTTTTTTCTTCTATGGTCTAGACTGTAGAGAATACTGTCCAAAATCGATCACATCTTAGTTGTCATATTATACATTTCCTCCATTTTATCGCTTTTCCTTATCTGACGACTTTTGATAACTTCTAATTTTATTTCCCTCTTACTGCCTTTCTCATTTGATTACCGTTTTCTGTGGTGTGCTGATGATTGGTGTGGCAACTGGGACTGTTGTACGTAGTACTGACAGAACTAATGCTGATGATGTTTATATGATGTGTACTGCTCTTTCAGGATGTTATATTTGCAACTTTTAAGGCTTTTGTTATCAATTAGAAGTGCTATCGGTTTCGTACTACTGTGATCGTCAGTCTCTCTAACGGTGGTCATTAGGCGTTCAAATACTACCAATGATACTAATTTCATTCAGTAAATATCTGTACATTTATTAGTCTATCTTCGACGTCATTGTTAAGCTACAAACTTTAAGTTGGTATTCATCATGAATTGACTAGTCAGTTGGAGGAACATTGGAAATCTGGGAGCACTGGACAGCTGGCTGTTTCTTCCTAGTATGAGACTCAACAATACCGCACCCGTGACCCCTGTCTGCCAGGGATCGAACCGAGGACCTTCAGGTTCCGTGACCGGCATATTTTCATTCAGCCACTGGGTCGGAATCCAGTGGTCCATATTTCCAACTTCTGTCAGTTCACGATATAGCGCGACCGCCACCCAATGTCATTGTTAAGTATTTGCCCTCACGTCTACCAGATTTGCCCCACTGGTCACGACTTCTCATTGGAAGTTCAGGAATCACCTCTCAAACTTTAAAGTGATGAATGGGTAGTTTTATGTCTTTGACTAGACGATTTGTTAAGGAGATGGCCGAGTTGCTCCTACAGCCTCTAACATCACAGCAACTGACTCGGTGAGAAGGTGAAGTTAGATGGCTAACCCACGCAATGCAATATTATTTGTATTTAGCAAAATATGTTGGGAGTGTATATGGCCTTAAAGCGTAAATGGCCTAATCAGAATGTGAACGAAGATAGACAAATGAAAGTCATTTGAAATTGATTGCTTGCGGCTCTCATCCCTTTTAGCTTTATAGCCCTTAAGGTGTATCACTAACGTCTGAAACCAAAGCAGGTAGACTAAACTTCTAACCATCGATTTGTCCTAGGGTGGCAAAATCAACGTAGAACCTTGCACAGAAGTGCATCAGCTCAAGTTGCCACACCTCACAATAGCAAGCAAATAACAGGTGGATAGGAAAATACTCGTAACTCATAATAAAGTAGTGTGAGAGATTAAGCAATATGGAGATAACGGTTAGTACGAATATTCAAGCTTTGTAACCGATTGATGTTCAGCCATGTCACCAAGTGTCCTCCATCACTGGTTCTTTTCATCTCAGGGATCCCAGACAGACAGTGTACATCTCTCCACATGGCTGAGACCAACAGTAAGAGACTTTATCGACCGGTGTTGGGTCTTGGTCTAGCTATCCTGAACTGTCTTCTAACTTAATCCAACTTTTTTCAGCATGACACATCGAGGTAGACGGTGATGGCTTGGCGCGCGCAATACATTTACAAGCCATCTCAGTCGAATAAGGTTTACTAAAGAATACATACAAAGTCTTTCTTTTCTTTTTGGCAAGTATATCCTTGTTTGTACTATCTCCTTTTTGTTGGCTCACAGTTTATTGTTTTCGGTAAGTGTATTTTCTTTGCCTTTAAGGGCAAAGGAAGTTGGTCTACAAGATACTTTCAAGCTCATTGTCTATAAATTCATCGTAACATTCAGTAGCTGGCTTAAAATGACCAACACACACTCACCTCCACGTTTCCGAATAAAATTCTTTTGGAGTTATTAGTCACCTTTCGGAAACTGATCTACTTGAGTTCGTAATAAGTAGTGTAAACATTTTAGTTGATAATTTTGCCGAAAACGATTGATGTATAATGAACAAAATTACATCAAAATAAAATGTACTACCCCGTTTCCACCTGATTCTGTGGAATCAACCAGGTTGTGTATGGGGAAAACTACTGGTCGATAACACTGGGTGATGGTAGAGGTATATCGCGAACCGAAAATAAATGGGTGGGTGGGATATCGACGATTAGATTGCAAGGTCATCAAAAAATTGAAATGAAGATAGTCTCAGCAATCTGAAGCATATTCATGCAGTACTAAATGAGCCACACCTATTTTATAGTACTACTTAGCTGCTCAAACCACCTCGGTAGGTGGAATGGGACTCGAACCCTTGACCCATTTGGTTGAAAGTCGTCTCTCCCCGCCCTGTCTAAACCAATGAACTACAAATCATAAGGTTATGAGTGTGCACTGATGAGAAATATCAAAATATGACGAGAAAGCTGTCCAGTGCTTCGATTTTTTTTCCCAATACATATCGGGATAAATCCTATCTAAAATAAAAGAACAACACGTGTGTTGAATTATATCTTTTTTTAAATGAATGCAGGGTCACGGTGATAGTGTATCGTGTTCAAAGTTTCATAAGTCAACCACACTTTTATTTTAGTTGCATTTAAAAAGTTTATTTTATATATTTTTCGTATGTTTACAGGTTTTGACCAGTCGGATGATATTGAATTCTCAGATCATGTACTGTTTTCAGCTTATCAAAATGATACCTCTTATACTATTGGTGAACTTTTACCTGAAGTCGATGAGTCTCCAATCTCACCGAAAGAATTTCATGACTGTGAACCTATTCCAGGCAGTAAACGACGTGAACTATCTTCAGATACAGATGAAGGAAATCATGGTGTAGATGATGATGATGATGTTCAGTCGGATAGGACAGTGAATTTGGAATCTAATGATATTCCTGCACAGAAAAGAGCTAAAGCAGAATTTGATAATGATTGTATGCTTGAAAAAGAGACAACTTCAGCATTAAATATTGAGTTTACAGTAAAAAATGATTTAAAATCAAATGATCTACAAGAAGAGACTAAAATAGTTGAAACCGAGTCTCTATGCAAATTATCCTCTGTAACTGAACAACATATTTCTGATTCTAAACCTCAAACTGTTTCAAAGTCCACTGTTAACAGACGAAAATTTTCAGGTCAACAATCTCGTATACGTAAAAAGCTTATTTCTATCTCAGATAGTTCAGATGAAAATAATGAAGTTCATCTAGAGAAAAAGTTGAATAATTCAATTTGTTTATCATCAAATGATTCTGATTTGGAGAATGATACATTAAAAAATCAATGGATAAACACTATTAAATCATCTGATGATAATGATCAGAGTTGTGTACAAACCAAACAAATCGATTCTATTTCACCACAATCATCAATAATAAAACTTAATAAAACTGTAAAATCTAAAAAACAGAAAATTAATCATACTACAACTAAAAGTAAAGTGAAACAAAAGCAATCAGAAAAACATTCTAATGAAGTGATTACTATTCATGAAGAAAAAAGGTTAGATCATTCAACTTTTATATAGTTTTCTCATTTTATTGTTTCAGTCTTACTTTAATAATTTCAGTTATTGACAATAAATTTACTTTGATGGTTACTGCTGTATGACCATCAACTGTCGACTGTAACCACTAATCACAGCTACTACTCTGAGTACAATCAAAGGAAAGAGGATACTGTACTGTAGTCTGCTCTCTCATCTTGTATGCCTGTGAGATATAGCCGCTAAATGAAGACTGGCAAGTCGATTAATAAAGTTGTGAACCTACATCCACTGAGATTACTTGGACATGTACTGTACATGCCGAGCCATTGCCGCCTACCTCGATGTGCCATGTTAGGGGCAGATGGATTAGGTTGAAAGAGGGTTCAAAGTCCCCAGGCTAAGGCATGATACCAGTCGATAAAGTCTCTGACTGTTGGTGTGAGTCATGTGGAAAGATGTAGACTGCCTGACTAGGATCCCCGAGATGAAATGAATCAATGGTTGGGAACTCTTGATGACGTGCATCTTTGATTCACCTGCCTTCTAAAGCTTGAATATTCGCACTAATCTTTATCTTCAAATTGTTTATTCTCTCACACAACTTTGTCTACTTTGATATCAGTCTTTTCCCATCCACCTATTCTTTGTGTACTACTGTAAGGTGTGGCAAATCGAGGTGATCCTCTTGTGTGTGAAGTTCTACCTTGATTCTGTCTTTGACCGAATATGTAGTGAATTCATTTCTTTTTAGGGTGCCGAAGATGCGTAGCTTACGATGAGAATGAGGTGTACATTTAAGTTTTTTCCTAATATCCTCTGGATTATAATACAATTTATTCTGAGAAACGAATGAATTTGTTCATCAAGTTTCTAGTCACTAAATATTTTCGTTCTTGCTTAGTCGGGCAAAACCCTAGTGATTAATGTGAAACAAAAATCTGGTCAACAGTCAGGTCCCATAGTTCAGTTGGTAGAGCGACGAGCAGAAAACCCGTTGGTCGCTGGTTCAAACCCAGCCGCGGTCAAAATTTTCATAATTCGTCAAATACTAAAAGATTTTGTCAACAGCCAACCCATTCAGCTTGGTACAACTTCCGAAGTGAATGAAATAGTCACCGCGTTCTGCCACTTCATACTCTATTCTTAAGCTACGAGTCGATGCAGACCTGTCCTGAAGCATCGTCTCACGTCTGCCAGGTGCCAAATATACTCGAATTTTTGTTCAAGCGTTTAGAAGACTGCCTTTTGTCAGTATTTTTACATACCAGGACTATATCAGCTACCTTCAGTCAACCAGGAGTGCATCAATCCCTGAGATGTCGTGGGTTCCTAGAGTTATGTCTATAACGAAATTAAACAAGTGCTTTAGCAGTAGGGATCTCTAGAGGACAATACTAGATTTTGCTATTTCGAACGGCATCTCCCCATAAGCTTTTGCGTGGTTTTGTGAGTTCGAGTAGAGAGCCATTACATACTTCCTCGGTACTTTCTTCAAAGTCACGCATTACCACAACACTTGGTTGGCTGAGTAGGTTGCAACTTTCAAGTCAAGAAATACAACAAGTATCAGTCCTCGATAAGTATGCTTGTGTTCCGAAATCCCTCGAAGGGTGAAAATTTAATCAATGTGTACTCTTCTCCAGGTGTGAACCCTTCCTGTTTATTTTCAAGTTTACTGTTCGCGAGCTCTAGTTAGGCGTTGTGTGACTACTTACTCTAGGATCGTTTGCCTGAGTGGAGTTCGGGAACAGTAAGCTCGAGGAAACCATGCAGGCTTTAGACCAGGCCGCGGGTATCTCGACCAAATATTCACACTGCGCCAGGTTCTGAAACGCAGGCACGCTTACCGACGCCCAACAATAGCTACATTTCTTGATCTGAAGGCGGGATTTGACTCCGTCGATCGAGAAGTCTTATGATAATGTCTCTCACTGAAAGGGGTACCGAGTAAGTACATCACCTTATTTAGGGCTCTTTTCTCGGCCACCTGTGGACGTGTTAGAGACCTATGGTGGGGTGTTGGGTTAGTTTTGTGTGTCGAGTAGTCTTCATCAAAGATGCCCACTCTCTCCATTCTTATTCAACTGTATCCAAGTTGTTCTCATGGTGGTCTTCGTCTCGTCATCTGACCATACAGGGGTTGACTTGACCTAGAATACACACATGACAAACTCCTGTTAGGTAAAGACGCTGACAAAATTTAGAGTCTTCTGTACACCTCAAATAGCAATTTGAGAATATCTTTGATACGTTTCTCACCACGGAAATGCAAATTGTTGCTGCAGGACTGATGTCCCACTGTGCCCCGGCTAACAATGGAGAGAAGAGTGGTTGAGCTCGTTGAACACTTCACTTACTTTGGAAGTCGGATCAACCCTGGTGCCGTTGGTGAGTGGCCAACGAAATCTGTGCACGGATATAAAAGGCTCGATTGACTTTTGCCAACTTACTCGATCTGTGTTACCGCCACGATGTCGGATTGTCGATTAAGGATTTAGTGTAGTGTGGTGCAGTTTATTCTGTTCTAGTTTATGGCTGTGAAGGGTGGGCGATAAAAGTAGAGGATGTGAGAATGCTTCAGGTGTTTGACCATCGTTGCCTTTGTAGTATGGACGATATTCCGTGGTGTCAGTATGTGAGTGACACAGAAGTCAGAGATGGAGAGGTAATATAGTTGATGTGATTGTGAACCTTCACGTTTATGGACTGATATGGGTGTCTGGGACATGTGTTACGTATGCGCACTCACCATCTGCCTCTAAGCAAAATGTTGGCTGAAGTATATTCAGATTGAAAAAGGGCTTTGGATGACCAGACTAAGATATGGCATCAGTGTACGAAGTGATTGACTGTTGGTTTGAGCCATGTAAGGCGACGCAGACTAGCCGGTTGGGATCCATGGGACAACAGAAACCAGTAGTTGTTAGAGACTCTAGGTGATGTTACGGCTGAGAGCCGATTTCAGTGGCGCAGACGTATCCGCACATACATTATTTTCATCTTAACTACTATGCCTAATCTCATCATTTTCCTATTCTTTCTTACTTCCTCCTACTTCTTTTGTTCGATTTTTCTTTCTTTCTTCACCTATTTTATTGCCTTGTTACTTGATGTGCTGATATGAAGTGTGGCAACTTGGACTGCTATGCAGTAACGCCTGGTTTTATGTTGATCTTGATGACGATGATGAAGATCGTGGAAGTGATGTCAGTCAAACTGATTCATTAGAACACGCCTGTTTTCTCGTAAACTGATATCATCAGCCTGACGAAACTACCTCTGATTCCTAAACAATACACCGTACCTCCGTTACTCTCCTCTGTAAATTATCTCTCCATTGTTAAAAGATTTGGTGGAAAACCATCAGGTTCTGCTACTTTGCATTGTTTCAGGTTTAAAACAACCTTCTCAACTTTAAGGAGAGTTGGAATGACTGACAAACATGTCACATTCAGATTTGGACTGTAGATCTTAGAGAACTGAAGCGTGGTTGTGAATCGGTTGAACTGTCCTACCTAACATTGTAGTCGCCTATCGCTAGAGCTTATCATGGACCCATCTACTTCCGCGATTTTCTCACTGACCATAACCTCACCGGTAAGCCTAGTAAACCTAAATAATCACCGAGTATTACCAAATGTTAATGTCTTCTCCGCTTTCATCAATTTCTCCACCCATCACTGCTCGCGATCTTTATGACGTCTGCTTTCGCTTTTCATTGTGGTTAGAGTTAGCTGGAATCATTCTTCTCGCATCAATGGGAAATCAGCTGGCTTTTGCAAACATTTAGGTTGAAGATATCAACTGCCTTCACTGTTTCTACAGTCGACTTAATATTACTCCAAACTTCAGCGGAAGGGCAACTGCTATGATGTTCAGATAAGCGCTTCTCTGTCTCCCCTCCAAATACACCTGACGTCTTCATCTTCCAATCGATCACACAGAGTTCACTGCTGTGTTTGCTGTGCTCGTTAAGATGATAACATACACGTGCTTGTACTGACGCACGATCGAAACTCAAGCAGGTACTCTAGAAAGAGCAACAATCTTCCCCAGATCTCTGCCACAATGGCTTGTGGCGATATGATCTGTGTCCGATGTTGATTTGATACTGGTGGTTACCAAACTAGTCAACTTGTCTTCCTACTCTTAAAGCTACTGTTAGCCAGAAACCAGCGATTGCCATAACAAATGTATGAGAAGCAGTCACCTTTGTCTTTTTGTCGGCATGGTATATCGTAGGAATGATCTGTATACCCTTCTCACTGATCTAGCTTTTCTTCTTGTGTGTTGAAATCGACTTCAAGAACTCTGAATAAGCATCGGCGAGGTTCAGTGTCTTATCCAGTTGTAACAGATCCGTTCGGTCGGATTGTACACAAACGGCTATCGACTGGTATCCAGTATATTATTAGTGCACTTTCTGCTCTGCCACTGATTGCAGTGTCTACACCGCAAGGTAGTCTTTGAATCTCCAAACACTTGTGAATTTCGCGGGTTTACCAAATGGAGCAGGTAAGGTAAAGTGAATAACCATACTCGGGTCTTGTATGGGCGCAGGATAGCACAGGATACATCCACGGCTAGAGATTCCAGAGTTTCGGCAATAGACACCTGTTGTTCGATTTTGCGTAGGGTTCAAACGTTGAAATCGATAGTGTTTTTTTATTCGACTAGAAATGGTGTTTCTCTTGCTTGGATCGTTAGGAATATTCGTATGGAGAGAGGTTGGGGAATTTATAAGAGGCCTGCTACTGGTGTAGGGGAGTGAAGACAAGGGAAGGAACTAAGATAACGAAGGTAGTCTATGTTTAGTTGGATTTTTTATGGTGCTATAGGCATATGGGTGCTTGGTGCTTCCAGACTGCCCACGTAGTAGAAGTTGTTATGTGGAGCATCTGAAAGGAAAAAGGGACCAGTTTTGCGTAATTTCAGAACTCGTAAAAAATCTGTTTGAGGCCTGTCACACGCGATCTTTTTGAGGTTATGCGATTGGAATTTGATTGCGTTAACATCCAACGAAGTAATCCATACCACTGACACTAAAATGCCTCAAGATAGGTAGTTGTCCACGACTTTCGGGGCGAACGTTTTCTACCCCACCCTCGGCAAGGGGGAAACAGCATCAGCATGGTACTGTTGGTCACCCATGGGAAACGCCTTGCTGCTGTCACACCCCATCCAGTCAGCAGTATGACGTCGCCTTTGGACATCCTATTACTATCCAATACACCTTTTTTGGACGATAAGATCTCCAGAAATTAGCCTTTCAGACAAAGTAGCTTATCGGCCACTGTCTTATCCCAGATGTAAGTAGCAGCTATCGGTCGGTCTAAGATATGAAAATCTTCATCGATTATCGAGGACTACCTTCTTGCTTCTTATCAACGTAGAACCTTGTACAGAAAGCTTCGACTCAGGTCGTTGCTATTCACAACAACTGGAAGATAAAGTGTACTGAGATAGGATTATATTAAAATGAACAAAAAGTGAAGAACTAAACAAATATATGGACCTGCATGAGGTCGGTGCATGAATGGTCGATGAAATCCCAAAACAAATCAGTTTCGTTTTATCAACTTACGTCATTTTTGTTGCTTACCAGTAATGAAAGATGAAGTCCGTGCGTGCAGGTTAAACATATTCGGGCATATAGATGTTTTCGGCATTTAGAACATTGCTTGGCGAAATCACCGAGGTGAATAAATCAGTTGATAGAGATTTAGTTTTTTGAAATGGCGGCGAATACTTGTAGCTCAGGTGGGTGGTCTTCGTTGCATTATGTTCTCTGAGCTGGGTTGTTTAATTGTGGGGAAGCTTTCATCGTCTTGCTAAACGACATCATCAGCACTAACTTCAGTATGAAGTGAGCTGTCAATATCTCCCCGTGAGAGATTCAGTAGCTTGTCCTTACCAACTGGTTTGTGATTGGTTGTTTCCTTTGACTGTTGTGTTCTTGACTGACGGTTTAGATTTTCCTGTTGGCTGTTCCTCTGCTTGATCTGTCACCTTTCTGTTGTCTATCATTTTCTCATTGGTTGATAGATTGGGTCTATACATCTGTTCATTGCTGACTGACCTGAATGCCAAGCTTCTAGGAATTCTCTGATATTCTTTGTGTTTCCTTTCTGCATCCAAGATTTCAACATTGTCGAAATTGAATTCATGTCCATAATTATCCACATGCATTGAAATGAGTGATAAAATGTCATGTGTGATGTATAGTAGCTAGTTGGCTCTCATGTAGACGAAGACGAAGAGGGCGACCACTTTGTACAATGTAGTGTTGACTACACTTATTGCAGTTGATTTTGTAAATGATATTCGGTTTATCTTCTTTGATTGTTTCATCCTTTGGTCTGCATAATAGTGTTTGCAGGGAATTTGTTGGTTTATGAGCCACACCAATTCCAAGTGGTCTCAGTAATCTTGTTGTGATTTCTGATATATTCTTTATGTATGGTAGGATGATGCGTTTATTGATTTCTGTCGATGACTTTGTAGTTGATGATGTGCGGGATAGGCATCTTGTGATAAAGTTTCGTGGGTAGCCGTTCTTCCTTAAGATGAACATCAAGTAATTTCTTCGTTTCTCGGTGTTGTTGTACTGCAGTACAGTGTGTTCTTGCTCTTTTGAATGGAGTCTGCACGCAACTGATCTTGTGCGTTGTTGGGTTGTTGCTACTTTAGTTGAGGATTTGATCAGTGTGTGTTGGTTTCCAGCTTTCCGGTATTTGTTCTATTGACCAAAACATCTAGGAATGGTAGTTGGTTGTTTGACTCTTTTTCATTGTGAGTTTGATGTTATTGAAATGCTGTTGATCAAACTGTGAGTGTCTTCTATATCATCGTTTTTTAATGACAAAGTATCTTCCGCAAACCGAATCCAAATTTTTGGTTCGATCATAGGTGAAATATTGGCTGCCAGTCTCTACATCTATGCTTCTGAAATTAGTTCTGGGTATTGGTGATCCCATTGGAGTTCCGTTCATGTGTCTGAATTGGAAACATGTTGTCAGACAAAGATCTATGAGTTCAATCAGACTTGAACATTTAAGTTTTTTGCGCTCTGAAAGGTTTATGTCTTCTTTAATAATCTTTAATCTATATGGGTGCTACTTGGTTTATACACATAAGTAGAAGAAGAAGAAAGGCATGACCCAATGGTTGATAATCATCCTCCTAAACCACTAGGCCACAGTTTCATATAGTTGTTAACTGTTAGTTTTTAGTCAGTGTTCATCAGGCATCCTGAATGAGAGTGATGGATAAGTTTTGACATTATGCTTCTTGCAGTTGAATCGTCCCGCGCACTAGATATGCATTTGTTCAATGTTTTTATAGCTTGAATAGGTTTGCAGTCACGTTTTTCAATGTTGTAACTAACTTGGGAGAAAAAGAACCGAATTCATTGACCTTTTTTTCCTTCTTGGCACATTTCAGATTGTCTACTAATTCAAATGGTGAGTTCCGTATCATTTTCATGTTGACTTTCAATCTTATGTCGTGATTAACTTGTGTGTTGTTTTTGTTGTTGTGAAGATAATTGCTTCTTATGGGTAGTGCCCACTGCTGAGGAGTCACATTCTAAGACGAAGCAGCTGTCCAATACTCTTAGATCTCCAATGTTTCTCTAACCAGACGTTGATGAATTAGGATAGACCTACTTTGGTGTGGAATCGATAAGTGGGTAGTGTATCATCATCTCACATAGAATAGACGTGGTTCACAGTCTGGTGGTTCATTCTTGTTCACATTTCTACACGGTTATATTGGCCTATTACTTCTTTAGTGTAATGAATTATGGTTAACTCAAAAGTGTATATATTACTAATTCATTTGGTGCGGTTGGCTACTTTTTTTATATAGTCTTTATAATATTTCAGTTCATATTCTGTCCATATGAATATATACAGGTATACGTCAGACGGTATTATCATCATCATCATCATCATCATCATCAAATGATCCATTCAGCCAATTGAATCATTGTTGCCGTGATTTAAAGACAAGTTTAATTAGAGGACATGAGAATTTTATCGCAGCTGTACAAATATTGACAAAAGTTCGTTCAATCCCTGTTCGACTCCCTCAGTTAGCTGAAGCATGGGATCTTATGGATTGTATTAAAAAGGTGAGTAAATCTAGTTTATTTGTAATCAAATAACTTATCTCTCTTAGTGCCAAACCTTCAATCTGATCGTTTTTGTTCAATTACTTGTAAATTTGCCAAAGAGAAAACAAAATATATAGGTTTTAGGTTTTTAGTTCGAAACCAATTAGCGGTAGAATCATTCGCCTTCACTCACAATAAGTATGGTTTATCGCCTACTAAATGATTGTACACAAGGTTGATTAGTTCAGTTTTTTTTCAACTGGTGAGAGTTATATGACGCTATGATGTTATACTCAACACTAATATCAAGTCAGTGCTTCTATATGGCGCGTCACGAAAAGCATTTCCAACAAACTACAGACATTCATCAACGGCTGTCTACGGTCGATACTGAAGATCAGATGGCCAGAATGTTAAGAATAAGCAACAAGGAATTCTAGCCTGGCAACGAACCAACCAAGAATCTATCGCCCAACAAATACACAGAAGAAGAAATTGGAGATGGATTGCATTGAACATACACTGAGAAGGCCGATTGGGGACATCATGCACCAGACTCTTGAGTGGAACCCAAATGGGAAACGATGAGTTGGGCGTCTGAGGGTGACATTGAGGAGATGGTGTGAGGATAAAATGAAAGCTTATGGGGAGTCGTGGAGTCAGGTTGGAAGGACTGTAGAGAACAGAGTGAAATAGTAACGTGCTACTGAGGCCTTATGTTCCACTAGGAACCCGATGGACAAATAATAATAATTATTACTATTATTACCATGTTATATGATGCTTTCAACCCCTAAAGTCATATAGTGCTTCAATTGTCTTTATGCTTTTCTAGTGTCGACGATACAAACTTTCAGCTGAAGTTCGTGATGCTGCTCAGTCAACTTTTCAATTCTTTCAGTCTTTACAAGCGAATGCTACCAAAGAAGAGGTAATTTATATGTAATATGAATTTGTAAAATACTCATCGTTCAACAATTTCATCCCTTATTATTGAGATTCTTGGATACTTCAAGTTGATATTCACCATGGACTGACATCACTTAGAGGAACATTCGAAACCTGTGAGTACTGGACAACCAGCTGTTTCGTCATAGTATGGGGCTCAGCGGTACTCACCCGCCCCGCCAGGTTCCGTGTCCCACTGAGCCGCGTGGTCGGAATCCAACTTCTGTCAGTTCAAGTCATAGAGCGATCATCGCCCAACGTCATTGTTGAGTATTAGTCCATACGACCACCAAGTCTGATGAATAGTAACTTGAAAAACTACCAAATCCCCACAAGCCCCGAAATTCCATTGATCTCGTGCTCATTGGTGACTAGCTTCGAGAAGTGATTCCACACTCAGAGACTCAAAGGTAGTGTGTTGGCCATAGATTCTGAAGGTCATGAGTTCGAACCCCGACGAGTTAGGGTGATGAGTGTGTAGTGCTGAGGAGTCCCATACTAGGACGAAACAGCTGGTTGTCCAGTGCTCACAGGCTTTTGATGTTTCTTCAACCCATGATGAATTCCAACTTGAAAGATCAGTAAATCTTCGCAACCCCCCAAATTCTTGGATACGAACTAATTGGGGACATACCATCTAGTTACTAGACAAACAATACGATAGTCAACAACTGATTTAATAGTTGACATAAAAAGAGGTCAATGTTGAATGAACTGAATCGAGTTTACTTCAAACGGAGTATAAAAGTACATACCCTGGGTTGTAACTCTTGCTTTCATATACAATGCATGCGCCCTTGAGGCGAATCCACGAAATATCATATTAAAAGTGGGAGGTTAACCAATATGAAAGAAAACAGTGTTCCTGAAGGCGGTAAAATTGAGTGATATACGCAAGACGGTAAAATCCGTATTCGTGTTATGATTACCAAAGACTTTTGAAGGTTCATTGTTATACATTCAGTTTTTCTATTTGAATTCTATTCATCTTCTATTGAACCTTACAAATAGTTGTATTCGGTAAGTTATTGTGATGACGACATACGAATCATATTCAATTGGATAGTAGGATTCTATGGAACAGTTACTCCTTGGTTTAGATGATCGCTCTATAACATGCGTTATGAGTTCGAACACCGCTCCACCTACTGAGGTATGGAGAGCAAGGTAGTACCACTAACCCGCACACAGTGTGTATGGTCCATTGCCTACTGCACGAATGCCCCCAAGGTTGGCCGGTTGCCAACTTGTGTTATTTGTGATGCCGACTGGTGGGACATCGACTATTTATTAGAGGACAAGTATATTGCTCAGCAGTTGGTTCTGTCCTCCTATACGACTGTGTGACATGACCATCAAAAGTCAAAGGCTTGAAGCGGTAACACGGTTTTGATCACAGGTGTTTTCGTAGCACTGCTCGCGTTTCGGTGGAATCACCATGTGAGCAGTGTTGAGGTCAGGCGAGGGGCACTAGGCAAAACAGGCCAGCAAGTCGATTGATGATATGAATGTTAGTAAACTGAGATGGCTTGGATAAGTACTACATATGCTGAGCCAGTTTAGATTAAAAGAGAGTTCAGGGTGGCCAGACTAAGACGTGACACCAATCGATAAAGTCTCTGACCGTTGGCCGGAACGGTGTGAGGAGATGTAGACCTCCTGATTCTGCGAAGTCATCACTGATTGTGTATGAAAATCGATCGTAGTTGTGCAGAGATGTATTCACTCTGACATCTAAAACTTGAATATTTGCATTAACCTTCATGTCTAAATTGTTTATTCTGTTACACAGCTTCTATTTTTAATATGAGTCTCTTTCTATCCACTTGTTCTTTGTGTGCTTCTGTGAAGTGTGGCAACTTGGTGTGTGTGTGTGTGTGTGTGTTTGAAGACTTTCACTGATGTTTTTCAGTAAAATTATACCTTTCGTCAGTGTCCTTTGCGAGTATATTGTTAACTTGCTCATGATTTTCTTTTCATTATCTATATATAGCTGACTCAGGCGCAAGCGCTTATCGCAGCTCACCAAAATCGAGTTCATGCATCAGTTCAAGACTCTACTGCAGATAACAAACTAAAAACTGAGACACCTCCTACTCCTGCACAAAACGATCGACCATTACAGAATAATACACACTTGAATACATTGCAAACTTCAACCATTCCTTCTGTTTCAACTGATTCAGTATCGATACAAAAGCTTAGTGTTAATGAGCCTGAGAATTTGACAGCTGATTTAGAAGCTAAAGTAGATGATGTCTTATCACGGATCCGTGCTACAGAAGAGCGTATGGCTGCAGCTGCAGCGGCGTCTACACGACCTGAAACACCGTACAAATCGTTATCTAGTCATATGATTAACCCGTCTACTAGATCATCAGGTGGTCGAATAATCAGAGCTTCAGCTGTCGCTGCTGCCACTGCTCATATGCATGATGAAGAAGATGAAGAGACTGTAATGTCACGAGTTGAACAGGTGGCTGCTTTTGAAGCAGCTACTGAAGGAAATCCAAATACTAACACTATTGGATCACCTCCACCCCCTCCTCCACCGCTACCACCACCTTTTCATTCTGTCACATCCTCAGATCAATTTGAATCTAAAACATCTCCAAGTGTTGATCTGGATCTTGATTCACGTATCCAGTTATTCATGTCAGCGGCTAAGTCAAAAAAATCTTCCAAGATTCCCGCTTCTGAAGTCACGACTACTAATAGTACTGCTACTATCCAACAAAAAGCACCTAATATCACTTCATCACCTTCATCTAATCTATTGCCAGCACTTTTAGCTAAGCGTAAATTAATAGCTGATAAACTTGCTGCTACAAAGGCAGCTGGATCACCGATTAAACATTGTCATCCGGTTACTTCACCGTTACCATCACCACCATCATCGAATAATGAAATAAATTATTCAGAGAAAGTTTCTCCTTCCTCCAGTGAATTGCCTTTTTCTTCCAAGGTATCCTCTTCATTGAAATCATCGTCGAAAGATGATGAATTATATGATTTATTAGGTGTATGAATTATTGATTCATTTCTACACTGAAGGAGGGGGGAGGGATAACAGCAACACTTTATTATTCAAGATTTTTATTGTTTACCATCAGTCTCAATGGTTGATTCCACTTTTATTGTACAAACCAAATAGCTAATAGTTATGTAAATTGGAAGTCCTTGTCTTTTATTTTCATCATCATCTTCATGGATATCACATAATCGCCAATACGATGGATGTGGAAAATACCCAATGATTATAGCATAAAAATGTAAACATTTATGATTTTTTTTTCTCTCTCTCTCTCTCTTAATTTATTATTTTTAAAGTTACCTAGTCTCAGTTATTGTGGTAATCTATGTGCGTATATTGTTGTTGTGTATGCGAGCATGTGTAAATTGACTCTGTGTTCATGAAGTAATAGATTAGCTACCACCGTCATCCCCCAACCTATCCCCCATTTTTTTTCTGTTTCTGATTCCTTCTCCGGGGTTAGGATCAGATTCACTATGTATGTGTGTATACATACAATTCAGTGTTGTCAATATCATCATTCTCACACATGGAACTCTCTTAGCATCCTCACATATTCCTCTTCATATTCTTACATTTGTTTTTCATCCTCTCTTTTTTCTTTTCTCCTGTCAAATGAATACAACGTCCTTTTTTTGTTTTTGACTCGGAATTACTGAAATGTATGGAAAATCAATTTTTGATTCATCTATCTTTTACCCTCTGTCTATCTTTCACACATACATACTACTCAAAAACTTGGAAGTAATAAGACAACAATTAATCTGGTATATATAAATGTATATCTATTTATACACATGCAGCCTAATGGAAATGATATTTTGAAGTATTTTCTAGTGAATTCCCGCTGCTGCTGCGCTGCCGCCCCGTAACTTCCCTCTGCACATCATCAATATAAACAGAAACGTACAACGTTATTCTGTTGGTTTCTTTCGTTTTTCAATTAAAAAGTATATATATTTATACATATATATTATATATTTGTAGGGTTGAGTTAACCCCAGTGATGAGAGCAAACTTCAGTCTTTCAATGGTAAGTGCAAGCCGACATGGATCGTCTATTGGTTACTCTTCAATGAAAACAATTAGTTGATCATATCTGCCTTATGTTTCATCATTTATCGCTAGGAAAGAATCCAATTCTGTTCTTTGTGTTTTTATCAAAGAAACAGCTTAATGTTGTAATAGATAACGTTAGTTAGATTATAGATTTGACTATCTGAGATGGGATCCGCGGTTTGGCAGACTAGTATTGATACTGGGTGATGATTGAAGGTGAAATAGAAGTGTGGTTAGCAGTCGGGCTTCGAAGCTCGGTTGGTAGAGCACCCGGTGGTCGCTGGTTCGAATCCCACTGTGGTCTTCAAATTTTCATTTCACCTATCATCACCACCCGGTATCAATACAAGTCTGCCACACTACGACTGCTATCTCAGATAGTCAAAATGATAATCAATATGATGTTTTCTCATTCTAATTCAATCAGATTTGGATTGGGATGAAAAGTCCTGACTGCAGGCAGCCAGCGTGGATATAAACAATCAAGAGGTAGTAACGCGTCACGAATTCACATGGTAGTCGTCGAACAGTGCTCTTGGTGATTGAAATGAAGTAAAAATGTGGTCAGCAGTCGGACTTTGTAGGTCAGTGAGTATAGAGCACCGGTCTGGTAACCGGGTGATCACTGGCTCGTATCCGGCTACGGTCTCCAAATTTTCATTTCACCTTCAATCACCACTTGGTTTTAGTTAGATTATTTTTTATTTATTTGTCTCTTGAGTTACCAGTGGAGCATAAGGCTTCGCTGTTTCACTCTGTTCTCTACAGTCCTTCCAACCTGACTCCACGACTCCCCATAAGCTTTCATTTTATCCTCACACCATCTCCTCAATGTCACCCTCAGACGCCCAACTCATCGTTTCCCATTTGGGTTCCACTCAAGAGTCTGGTGCATGATGTCCCCAATCGGCCTTCTCAGTGTATGTTCAATGCAATCCATCTCCAATTTCTTCTTCTGTGTATTTGTTGGGCGATAGATTCTTGGTTGGTTCGTTGCCAGGCTAGAATTCCTTGTTGCTTATTCTTAACATTCTGGCCATCTGATCTTCAGTATCGACCGTAGGCAGCTGTTAGATTACTTAGATTATTATTATTGATCATACTTCTGATAATAGTTCTTTTTTCTAGTGGACTTGATAAAATTCTTAAGTTTTGTAAGGCTATTCACTAACCGTAGTCTAATATCTTTCCCTCCAACCTCACCTCACCCTTCAAACACTACACACTGAAATTGGTTTCAACCGGTAGGTTCACGGGTTCGATCAATACTCCATTTACTGAGGTGGTTTGTGCAATCAGCTAGTAAATGATCGGTAATTGTCGAATATCTAGACAATGATATTAGTTTCGTGTATATTTCAAATGGTCCACTGGTTGAGAGTATTTGTAGCTTAACATTATGGATGATCTTGATTTTGTTGGGTTCTTTAAGCTAGGTGGTGCGATTTGAATCATGAAGCTTTCGTATAAAGGTTGGAACTGCTTCTACTGATAATGATGATGATCTTGTTGTTGTCTAAACTGACAGCTTCTTGGTTGTATTGTGTTCACTGAGCTGGGTGGGTTGACTTTATACTGAAGTTAGTCCTGATAATGTCGTCTGGAAAGACGGTCAAACAATCAATCAGACAATCAAACAATTCAGCTGAGAGAACACAATACAACCAAGACCATCCACCTGAGCTACAAATATTCTATACGATTTCAAAATTAGACTGACAGTTTCTTCACGATTAGACCACCTCCACGTCAAAGAATGCATCATGACCAAGATATTCCCAGTTTTTCATTACCATACTCACTGTTATTATATTGGTTTCTTTACTTTTTTCACTTTGTCCTTAAGAAAGTTCCTTATGTCTTAACTGTGTACGGACTTTGTTTTAGACAAGTTCATTTGGAAACCTGTATTCTAACTGTGTAGGCTAGCTAATTCAGAATATTTCATCTACATTCATTTTTATCCTTGCGAGTATACTGGACTGACCTGAGATTTTCCTAACAATACTGATATGCTCAAAATATTTCCACTAGATAATGAAAAATGACTGAAAGATAATTCACTTATGAAACTTTTTATCTTCCATGAATCATTTCCAAAACCTTGACAATCGTAATTATCATTACAATTAATAAACAAAGTGTTTTACGGAGATTATGACCAAGATGAAACAAGAGATAAAAAGTTTTATTAAATTGGTATTCATCATGGATTGATATCAGTTGAAGGGACATCAAAAGCCTGTGAGCACTGGACAACCAGCTGTTTCGTCCTAGTATGGGACTCCTCAGCACTACACACTCATCACCTCAACTCGTCGGGGTTCGAACTCACGACCTTCAGAATCTATGGCCAGCACACTACCTTTGAGTCTCTGAGTGTGGAATCACTTCTCGAAGCTAGTCTCAGTGGGGACATCATCACTCACTGAGGTGTTGGTACCATCCATCTAACGACTTCCTGATGGGACGAATACAGACCGGTCAATTCGGTTCGCATGGTTGACAGGAAAGCGGATAGAAAAATCAGAGTGATCTTGTTAGAGAAACCTATGGATCAGCTCGAGTGGTTTCTAACTACTCAATCTGTCCAGGGATATATTTTGTTAGTTCATGACACTTCTGTGTCATACCCTTCACAGGAAGGTATTCGCAAGCAGTAAAAGGATGAAAGAAACGTGGATAGGAGAAATGGGGACTAATTGGCTGTTCACAATTTGAAAGAACACTTAAATTCATCCTCGTCAAGGTTGGCGATGATGGTGTCTTGGTACGTGGAACATATGCCCAAGCCACCTCAGCCGATGAAGATTCACCATCTCTTTAATCATCCTGTCTAGTACCTTTCACCGGACCTCAACACTGCTTACACGGTGACTCCATCAAATATGAACAATCCTAGGAAGACATCCATGGTCAAAACCTTGTAACCTCAGTCATATAGCAGGACAAATTGGATTGTGGTGGTGGTTCTTGATTATCCACGAGATTTGGTGGCCTTCGGGATCAGTATCATGTTTTGATATAAAAAAAGAGTTGTTTGTGCAGTGGAACCACTTTTCCTGTCCTATGTTAATACTAAGCCTTGTGGATAAATCGTTGATGTGCTGACATCGATAGCTGTTATTGCATATATATCGGTAGATGCGTTTTCTGTCATCCTATTGGTCTCGTCAATAGTCCTTCGCTTGTGGCGTCTGTAAGCTTTCTGGTAGTCTGCTTCTCATCAGCTGACCACACAGGGGTTGACTTGATCATTGGAGAACTTTTTGTAGACCTAGAATACACACATGACAAACTCCTGTTAGGTAAAGACGCTGACAAAATTTAGAGTCTTCTGTACACCTCAAATAGCAATTTGAGAATATCTTTGATACGTTTCTCACCACGGAAATGCAAATTGTTGCTGCAGGACTGATGTCCCACTGTGCCCCGGCTAACAATGGAGAGAAGAGTGGTTGAGCTCGTTGAACACTTCACTTACTTTGGAAGTCGGATCAACCCTGGTGCCGTTGGTGAGTGGCCAACGAAATCTGTGCACGGATATAAAAGGCTCGATTGACTTTTGCCAACTTACTCGATCTGTGTTACCGCCACGATGTCGGATTGTCGATTAAGGATTTAGTGTAGTGTGGTGCAGTTTATTCTGTTCTAGTTTATGGCTGTGAAGGGTGGGCGATAAAAGTAGAGGATGTGAGAATGCTTCAGGTGTTTGACCATCGTTGCCTTTGTAGTATGGACGATATTCCGTGGTGTCAGTATGTGAGTGACACAGAAGTCAGAGATGGAGAAGTAATATAGTTGATGTGATTGTGAACCTTCACGTTTATGGACTGATATGGGTGTCTGGGACATGTGTTACGTATGCGCACTCACCATCTGCCTCTAAGCAAAATGTTGGCTGAAGTATATTCAGGCTGGAAAAAGGCCACTTT